CGGCGGTAAAACACACAGTTGATATCTAAATGAGTGTTATAGTGGAACACACCTATTCTATAGTTAATAGACTCTTCCACCTACAATAAGTAGGAGTAGTTAGAGTAACCAGGGGATCAGTGGGTCGGTCGGTCAGTCAGTCGATGCCGGACGACAGTTAGTCGAATACTAAAGTATCAGCGACCACAACTAGATTTCTCTGCGCCATTACCTATTATATCAAGTCCCTAACGTTTTGTACGTCGAACCTATTTTAGGACCGACTTAGTACAAATACATGCCTCCACTGTGAAATCACTCCATAACAATGAGTCACCTCAGGAATAAGATATTCCTGAGGTGATTTATTTACATATCAATTCACAAATACTGTAAGTAGCTACAGCTATTACCCATGAGGCAGTTGAGTGCATACTACTTACCGTAATTCAGTAACACTATATGTCAATGGTTTCGACGATTTCTAACCCACCGAACAGACAATTATCATTTGATAATTATGAATACGTGCAAGCTTGGCTCAGGATACTAGCAGCTAAAGCTAGAAGAAAAAATCTGAAGGATTTTAAATCAATCGGAGGAGAAAACGAAATAACTGATTTCTTCTTGTGAAGCGATGATTGTGAGGCCGTTATAAAATTATCAATAATTGCACGCACAAGACATTTGGAGGAAAGGACATTTGACGATATGAGTCAACTAATAGTGAAAAAAATAACACCCAAGAAAGAAAAAAAACAAAAAATATAGTGAATGCAGAGAGTGCTAAGTTTGTGGATATTTCTCAGAAAGTGAATGAATCAGTTATTGAATATGTTCTTCACTTAAAACAGGCCGGTAAATATTGTGAATTTGAGAAACTGTGAGCAGAAAAACCTGTCAATCGGTGTCTAATGCATTGACAACTTAGAAAATTGTCGCTAGAAGAGTGCGTTGGACTTGTTCAGCAACAAGAATTAATTGGAAAATTTAACAGAACAAAAGTTACGGATCCGGAAGAGGAAACCGGTACATACGCCATAGAGAAAGAAATAAAATAATATGTACTTCTTGTGGTTATCAGCAGGAAAGAGCAAAACCAAAATGTCCGTCATATAAAAAAATTCTAACAATTTAAGGGGTGTTCCGTTCATCAACGATGTGAAGTTCAAAACGTGGATTCATTAATTTTTCTAGCCAAAATAAAGTGATTTCTATTGTCGAGCAATTGCACAATTATTGGATCGTTGGCTGGACGTCGTAAACAATGAAGGGGCATACATTGTTGAATGTGAACAATTGATAAATTGATTCCCAATCTTTCATGACAGCCATTGTTTTCGGATTCCGCCATCTTGGCGTCTACTGATAAAAAAACAATTAAAGGTACACAATACTCTAACTTTTTGTTGAGCAATATTTGAAGTAAAATATAATATATACAGAATAGCGTTTAAAAAAAAAACCTGTAAAACAAAAAACAAACAATTATAAATTAATACAGTAAATGGATATAAAGATCTGTAGCACATGAAGATAAAGATTGAGACATACATGTAAGTACGCCACTACATTTTCGGCTAAATTTCTGTTGGCCAAATGTCCGTCAGTAAATGTCCGAGGACTATCACACTGTATCACCGGTCATGTCATTTCAGCTGAATTACCTGTTTGAGTTTAGGTTAATTTGTTCAACATACAGCTTAGCATTGACTGTTTAGTTGTTTGGAAGCTTTTAATCTCCAATCTCAAATGTCTTGAGTAGCTTTAATAGCTTTGTAACCTTGATTAAAAGCAAAGAGAAAATGTCGAACATTCTTGTCTGCTTAGCATTCCAGATGAAAGTTGTCTCTAATTTGAAATAATATTTAAATAACGTTAGACAACAGTTTCACGGGATGACCAGAGATACTAAGAAGCAAATATATATATATATATATATATATATATATATATATATATATATATATATATATATATATATATACACACCTAGTGAGCCAGACAAACCTACCTAGGTTTCACCTAAACGGATCGTCAGGGGAAAGTCTGCTCTACGGTTGTATTGAGCTCTTTTGTTAGTTAATTGTTACTCGTATCAGGGTTTTTTTTTTGGGCTTCAGACCTGCATCTGTGCGATTTTTTGTCGGCAGAAGTCCATGTTTGTAGCTCTTTCTTTTTTTTTAAAACCTTTTTTTCCCTCGAGATTGATTTGATTAGCAAATCAAAAATTCGAGGGTTTTTCGAAACGAGTCTAGTTATCTATATTTATATGTATAAATATATATATATATATATATATATATAACTAATTTTTCAGGCCAGTGATTTCTATTGTCGAGCAATTGCACAATTAATGGCTCGTTGGCTGGACGTCGTAAACAATGAAGGGACATACATTGTTGAATGTGGACGATTGATAAATATTAAGTATAAAAAAAGAACAAAAAACAAAAGAACTACTGTAAGAACATATAAGTATTTTGACTAGATATGGATAAAATACCTTATCAAACAACAATATTAGTTTGGTTTCGTTTAAAACATTGGAATTATTTCGAAGTTCTTGTATGAGAAAAAAAAAGCATTGTTTAACTCAAATTATACATGGTCAAATACGCTCTTGCTGGGGAAGAAATAAATAGAAATAAAAAAAAGAGAGATGGAATTTAATTTAGGGCGGTTACTGGCAAAGAAAGTAAAGTTCAAAAAGAAGAAAAGAAAAGAAGAAATAAAGAAAAGGAAAAAGAAGAAGAAAAAGAAAAAGAAAGAAAAGAGAAAAGAAGAGCGAAAAGCAAAAAAGAAAAGAAAAAAAGAAAAAAGAAAGAAAAGAAAAAACTAAAAGAAAAAGAAAGAGAAAAGTAAAAAAGAAAAAGAAAATAGAAAAGAAAGAAAAAAGGAAAAAGAAAAGAGAAAAGAAAAGCAAAAAAAGAAGAGAAAAGAAAAAAGAAGAGAAAAAAGAAAAGAAAAAAGAAAAAAAAGCGAAGAAAAAAAAGAAACAAAAAGTAAAGCGAAAAGAAAAGAAAAATGTTGACAATGGCAGAAACGCTTGTACGGCTGTTTTATTTAAAAGAAAGTCTCCAGTTTATTATTTAAGACATTCTGCTTGAAAAGTTTCTTTTTTCTTTCAATTCTTCGATTCGATAGACTTCTGCCTTTAATGTCAGAGAAATCAAAATAAATGAGAAGGGGGGACTTTTATGATGACAGCATTAGCATCATCATCATCAGCAGCACAACTCTGCATACAGCCGATTTCAACGCACTCACTCACTCACTCACTCACTCACTCACTCACTCACTCACTCACTCACTAACACTTTCAACTTATCTCTCAATATATATATATATATATATATATATATATTTACAGTCATTTATATATATTACAGTCAAATTTGTAGCGATGTATTACAGATATAAATGATGAATACAACGGATGGGATAGATAGATAGATAGATAGATAGATAGATATGATATGAATAGATATTAACAGAATGGGATAGATAGATTAACAGATGAGATGGATAGATAATATTAACAGAATGGGATAGATAGATAGATAGATAGATAGATAGATAGATAGATATTAACAGATTAGATAAATAGATATGGGATAGATAGATATAGATAGATAGATAGATAGATAGATAGAATAGATAGATGAATAGATATTAAATACGGAGAATGGGATAGAACAGACTATTAACAGAATGGAATAGATAGATAGATAGATAGATAGATAGATAGATAGATAGATATTAACAGAATGGGATAGATAGATAGATAGATAAATAGATATTAATAAAATGAGATAAATAGATATTAACAAATGATAGATAGATAGATAGATAGATAGATAGATAGATATAGATATGCAGGAGAGGGATAAATACGGAGAAGGAGAGTGATAGGTGTGAACAGACTATTAACAGAATGGAATAGATAGATAGATAGATAGATAGATGAATAGATAGATAGATATTAACAGAATGGGATAGATAGATAGATAGATAGATAGAATGATAGATAGATATTAACAGAATTAGGATATTAAATAAAATGATAGATATTAACAAAATGATATAGATAGATAGATAGATAGATAGATAGATAAATACGGATAAGGATAGATAGATAGATATTAACAGAATGGAATAGATAGATAATATAGATATAGATAATAAATGATGATAGATAGATAGATATAGATAGATAGATAGATAGATAGATGTAATGAATAAATTAACAGAATTAGATAAATAGATATTAACAAAATGATAGATAGATAGATAGATATAGATAGATAGATAGATAGATAGATATGAGGGATAAATACGGAGAAGGAGAGTGATAGGTGTGAACAGACTATTAACAGAATGGAATAGATAGATAGATAGATAGATAGATAGATAGATGAATAGATAGATATTAACAGAATGGGATAGATAGATAGATAGATAGATAGATAGATAGATAGATAGATAGATAGATAGATAGATATTAACAGAATTAGATAAATAGATATTAACAAAATGAGATAGATAGATAGATAGATAGATAGATAGATATGCGGGAGAGGGATAAATACGGAGAATGAATGGATAGATAGTAGATAGATATTAACAGTAGATAATAGATAGATATTAACAGAATGGAATAGATAGATAGAAGATAGATAGATAGATAATAGATAGATGATAGATAGATATTAAATAGAATGGATAGATAGATAGATAGATATTAACAGATAGATAGATAGATAGATAGATAGATATATTAACAGATATTAACAGATAAATAGATATTAACAAAATATTAACAGAGATAAATAGATATTAATAAATGAGATAGATAGATGATAGATAGATAGATAGATAGATAGATATGCGGGAGAGGGATAAATACGGAGAAGGAGAGTGATAGGTGTGAACAGACTATTAACAGAATGGAATAGATAGATAGATAGATAGATAGATAGATAGATAGATATTAACAGAATGGGATAGATAGATAGATATTAATAGATAGATAGATGGGATAGATAGATAGATAGATAGATAGATAGATAGATAGATATGATGATATGTAACAGAATTATTTTCTATAAATAGATATTAACAAAATGAGATAGATAGATAGATAGATAGATTATCTCTCAATATATATATATAGATATATAGATATATATTTATATATATATATATATACAGTCATTTAAAAATGGGAGAGGATAAATACGGAGATAGATAGATAGATAGATAGATGATAGTAGATAGATAGATAGATAGATATTAACAGAATGGAATAGATAGATAGATAGATAGATAGATAGATAGATAGATAGTAACAGAATGGGATAGATAGATAGATAGATAGATAGATATTAACAGAATTAGATAAATAGATATTAACAAAATGAGATAGATAGATAGATAGATAGATAGATAGATAGATAGATAGATAGATAGATAGATATGCGGGAGAGGGATAAATACGGAGAAGGAGAGTGATAGGTGTGAACAGACTATTAACAGAATGGAATAGATAGATAGATAGATAGATAGATAGATAGATAGATAGATAGATATTAACAGAATGGGATAGATAGATAGATAGATAGATAGATAGATAGATAGATAGATAGATAATAACAGAATTAGATAAATAGATATTAACAAAATGGAATAGATAGATAGATATAGATAGATAGATAGATAGATAGATAGATAGATATAGATAGATAGATATGAATGGATAGATAGATGAATGATCTATTAACAGAATTAGATAAATAGATAAATAAGAAAATGAGATAGGATAGATGATAGATAGATAGAACAGATAGATATTAACAGAATGGAATAGATAGATAGATACTATGGAATAGATAGATAGATAGATAGATAGATAGATAGATAGATATTAACAGAATGGGATAGATAGATAGATATTAACAGAATAGGATAGATAGATAGATAGATATTAACAGAGATAGATAGATATTAACAGAGATAGATAGATAGATAGATAGATAGATAGATAGATGTGTTTTTCATTTTGTATTATTTTGTTGTAGAATTCATTTTCTATTGATTTTTTAATAAAATTCATTTTTTTCTTATTTATATGCAAAATGCGTTTGTTGTTTCCTACAGAATTAATTTTCTATAATTTTTATACACAATTCCTTTTTCTATTTATCTTTGTAGATTCCATTTCCATTTATTTTTAATTCAGAAGCTGTTTTATTATTTTCTTTCAGTATACTTTTTCTATCATTTTTATATTGTCTTCCTCTTCATAGTATTTTTATTCAATATTCATTTTATATTTATTCAAAATTCTTGTTCTTTGATTTTGACACAGAATCCATTTTCAATTTTTCTTTTTGTCTTTTTTTTTTTTTACAGATTTCATTTTCTGTCGTGAAGAAAAATCAGCCAATTCAATCAATGTTTATTTATCAGGCCTTATGTACATCTTTCAGCTATGCGAATTGAACTAGAAGTGGCAAAGTGAGTGCCAATATATGATTCAGTAGAACTGGTCGTGGGTAAATATGGATTTGTCAGATTGACAGGAACAAAACTTGAGGAATTCTCCTGTTTGCTGAGGTTCTTTTTTTTTATAATCATTTCACCCCAAGGAAGGCAACAAAGCCATTAAGACGGAAGGGGGTTACTGAATGTGTGAGAATATCAGCGAGAGAGAAAAAAGATCAGGAATTACGAAGACAGAAAATGACGATTGATGATGTATTTAAATTTTGTGATACAAGAAACTGTTAACATAGAACTTATGGTTACATCAAGCCATTTCAACAGTAAAATGATGAGACCTATCTGCCAATCTAGTACTGTTCTTAAATTCATAAAGTCTAGGTACCAAAGAGGATAGCTCATCAAAACAATTACCATGAACAAACTTATCATATTAAAAAACTATTAGCATAGAACTTATGGTTACATCTAACCATTTCAACTGTAAAATGATGAGACCTAGCTGCCAGTCTAATACTGCACTTAAATTCATAAAGTCTAGGTACCAAAGAGGATAGCTCATCAAAACAATTACCATGAACAAACTTATCATATTAAAAAACTATTAGCATAGAACTTATGGTTACATCTAACCATTTCAACTGTAAAATGATGAGACCTAGCTGCCAGTCTAATACTGCACTTAAATTCATAAAGTCTAGGTACCAAAGAGGATAGCTCATCAAAACAATTACCATGAACAAACTTATCATATTAAAAAACTATTAGCATAGAACTTATGGTTACATCTAACCATTTCAACTGTAAAATGATGAGACCTAGCTGCCAGTCTAATACTGCACTTAAATTCATAAAGTCTAGGTACCAAAGAGGATAGCTCATCAAAACAATTACCATGAACAAACTTATCATATTAAAAACTATTAGCATAGAACTTATGGTTACATCTAACCATTTCAACTGTAAAATGATGAGACCTAGCTGCCAGTCTAATACTGCGCTTAAATTCATAAAGTCTAGGTACCAAAGAGGATAGCTCATCAAAACAATTACCATGAACATACTTATCAGATTAAGAAACTGTTAGCATAGAACTTATGTTTCCATCTAGCCATTTACTGCTCTTGAATTTATAGAATCTAGAAACGAAAGAGGAATGTTTATCAGAACAATTATATATATATATATATATATATATATATATATATTATGCTTTTAAATTCCTTGATGAACGGCCGCAATGTATCGTTGCGGTTTCTAGTTGCGGTTTAAATTGAGTAAGTTGTTAGCCTACTGCACAACCCTCAACTTGGTGAATCAGGTTTTGAATTAAGAGTTGTCCTTCTCGTAGACCAGTTGCCACCCAAAGCTATAGAATCCGGTCTGTACTATTTACCCATAGCTGGGGGAGAAGAAGAGGATTCATCCCTTTCCCAAGGGTGTTAGCACGTAAGTGAATGTAATTCGACTGGAATTCGAACTCAGCTCTTGTATATTTAAGACAGTAGAAAACACACAGTTTGACAATGTTCACCAATATTTTGACAGTATGTCTGCCTTCTTCAAGTTATACAGGATGGCCACTGAAAGATTGAATGATATAAAACAAATAGTGTTCAGTATGCTTAGAATCTCCGACAGATCCAGTGCTTTCAAACCGGTCGATTAGGTTGTGAATCATGTTAGCAAAAAGAGATAATATGGCATTAAAATGTTGCCAATATTTTCTCAAACTTTGAATAATTGACCATTCGCTGAAATGAATAAAAAACTCGATGAGTTTTACCCCTTTCTGGTTGTCGTACGTAGCCAGTTTAATCTGCAATGGATGCCCTATAACTTATGTTATAGAATACTAGGGTCGATAATGGGTATGTCCCCATTCCCATAAATAGAGTAGTAAATACTGTATGTTGGTCTGCAGTTAGACATTCGTCTCCGGCTGTGCTGATCAAACTCTCTACCTCCGGGCGGAGAGGATCCCCAGATGAGTTTATGTCGAAGGGCAGAGAGTCTCGTATCATAATAGTCTCGTCTCGGAAAATAGCTACCCGACCCCGATTTATACGTGGTCTACGGGGAATTTGGGGCCGAGCCAAAAGTATGGGATACCCAAAATTAAATTCAGCCTTGTGCCACATCTCACCGCGTGGTTGGTAGATATCCTGCAGTTAAAGATTCGTCTCCAGCTATGCTGGTCAAACTCTCTGCCTATTGACAGAGTGGATACCGAGACGAGGCTCTGTTAAAGGGCAGAGTCTTGTCGCGGGAAACAGCTACCCGACCCCGTTTTATACGGGGTCAACGGGAAATTTTTGGCCAAGCCTACGGGCTCGGATACCCCACATTAAATTCGTCCTTGTGCCTCATCTGAACGCGTGGGCAGTTGGTAGATATCCTTTAGTTGGCGATTCATTGTGAAATTCAATAGACTCACTTCTAGCAGTTGCTACTTCTACGCGCTGCTGGCGAATCTTATATGTGTTGTTCTTGTCCTAAGTATTATCGTTCATTACCAACATTCGTGTGATTATAGATATAGATTATTACAACAGTACTTCTATTATTATTGTTGTTTTTAGCTTTTTTCCCCTCACGTCTTTAAGTCTAGGGTCAATTTCTCTGTGTTCTATAAATCCACACAATCGGCACTTACTTTCGCCACTACCGCTTTACAACACCCTCACTCAGTAAACCCCTGCCTTGTTTTTTTTGGTAAAATTTACCAGTTAATCCCCAAGAACATCATTATTCAACTACAATAAAGATGATAAGTCATAAAATAATTCTTTAAATGCCTAATGGTGATCTGCTACCGTATTTGTACATAACACTGGTCAACAACAAAAAAAAATTGAAATGGTGTCGAGACACCAAATATTTTTTAGCGAATTTGAGGGCGCTGAATCTGAAAATGACCTTACTTTTTCTTGGTTAGCAACTGTTTTTGCTCTACAGAAATGCCTTATTTTGGGGAAAAAAATTCTCATTTGTTTTCTGTATATATGATATTGACGAATGTCAATATTTCTCAAAATAAAATCGTAGAAACCTCTCAATTCGTAATTAAACCAACAAATAATCGGCTGCTTATTGAGAAATACTATTTTTGCAATAACAATCAGACCCTAAGTCTTTAAAAAGAACATGATTGAATATACAAAGACCAACAAGTATTTTCATCAAATCATTTGATAAACAGTAGAAATAAAACCTTCGTGAACATAAAAATTATGGTAAAAAAATTTTCTTTCTTGATTGTCTGGTATGTTCAATGTTATTTAAGTCCCTTTTGATACTCCAGCAGTATCATGTACAATGGAATAGGTGCATTCAATTCGGATGTCTTTAGTTGGAGTTTCTTTCCGACTGTGAGAACACAATGCTTTCAATGTGTTTGGTTTCCTTCCATAGTGAAGGGATAAAAGTGATGGGATACATTTATGAATATCAAACAGAAGATTTTAGTGTTTCATTTTTTTTTATGTCAACTTAATTATTAGGTTTACTAAAGTTTATTACTGATAAAGTTTATCAGTAAATTTTGGCGATAAATTAGGAAAATTCATTAATTCTATTTTAAAATTTTTGACTCAAAAACAATTTTTTCTTATAAAATTAGTTTATTTCAGGTCACTGACATAAATTGCTTGGCCTACCTGAAAATTGATGGGTTTCTACGACATTTATTAACTAAATTTTGCAATCAGCCAAGATCGTAAATTGATCTCTTTTCCAAAAATGAGCAATTTCAGTACAGCAAAAATTGTCTGTAACCATTAAATCTAAGGTCATTTTCGGAATCAGCACCATCAAATTAGCTAAAAAGCGAGTTGTGTTTCTTGGCACCAAAAATTCTGTTGACTACTATAATACGAGAAATTCTGAATTAAAATTAAATGTGATGAACGGTTGTCCTTTTAGGGATATATAGGTGGTAATTTAGGAGCCTGCTAAGTGATAACGGAAAGTTACTTGTTTAGTGTTTGCGGTAGTCAATGCGCCAAGCCAGTTTTCCCCCATTGAGCGGTTAGCTCTATTTCAGAGGGCAGATCAACTGCTAGACTCTGGTGCACCTCGCCGCTGAATCATCTGCAAAGATATCTACTAAAGTTCGAGTGTGGTCTTCGGCAAATCGTGAATATAAAGTAGAAAGTGGCTAGAATCGAGAAGCAAATTTTGAGGGACATCTGAATTTGATGCCACGGGCTTCGAAAAACTGACCATTAACAATAATCTCCATGTTTGGAAAACTCTTCCAGTAATTCGATAAACGTAGACGATAATAACTCTCTCTATCCAGGGCCCATGAGAAGAGGGTCCAGCCGGGACTTTCTTCCGGCGCCTAAGAACTTAGAAGTGCCCCACCTAAACATGCAACACTCATTCCTCTCCAGAACAAGTACTTTCTACTGCCCACACCTCGACATATACTTACATAGTCGTATGAATATATGATAACACCAAGTGTATCTACATAAAGCCCCTGGTAGATGTCTAGATAAACATACGAAAACACCAAGGTCCCTGAGTAGATGTATAGATGCATCAATGAA